ACCAAAGAATTGTCAGTCTTCAGCTCTAGCAACTTTTTGTGTCATGGGAAGGAGGCCACACGATCCCAATACTTGGAAGTTCTAGATATTTTTGAGAGCCCCAACAGCGGAGAGGCACTTCAAAGGACGGTGGGTGGGGAAGATATCAAGAGAACTTGCCACCCACCCTCCTTTTTAAATGGAGACACTATCCATCTCTGACACGTGAACCAAAGACGTGGCAGTCTTCAGCTCTTGCAACTGGTTGTATCATGGGAAGGAGGCCACATGATCCCAATACTTGGAAGTTCTAGATATTTTTGAGAGCCCCAACAGCAGAGAGGCACTTCAAAGGATGGTGGGTGGAGAGGATATCAAGAGAACTTTCTATTAGTGTCTCCATTTAAAAGGAGGGTGGGTGGCCAGTTCTCTTGATATCTTCCCCACCCACCGTCCTTTGAAGTGCCTCTCTGCTGTTGGGGCTCTCAAAAATATCTAGAACTTCCAAGTATTGGGATCATGTGGCCTCCTTCCCATGAAACAACCAGTTGCTAGAGCTGAAGACTGACACATCTTTGGTTCACGTGTCAGAGATGAATAGCGTTTTCCAGTTAAAAGGAGGTGGGTGGCAAGTTCTCTTGATATCTTCTCCACCCACCATCCTTGGAAGTTCTAGATATTTTTGAGAGCCCCAACAACGGAGAGGCACTTCAATGGATGGTGGGTGGAGAAGATATCAAGAGAACTTGCCACCCACCCTCCTTTTTAAAATGGAGACACTATCCATCTCTGACACACAAAAAAACAAAGATGTCAGTCTTCAGCTCTAGAAACTGGTTGTGTCATGGGAAAGAGGGCCACATGATCCCAATACTTGGAAGTTCTAGATATTTTTGAGAGCCCCAACAGCGGAGAGGCACTTCAAAGTATTGGGATCATGTGGCCTTCTTCCCATGACACAACCAGTTGCTAGAGCTGAAGACTGACACTTCTTTGGTTCACGTGGCAGAGATGGATAGTGTCGCCATTTAAAAGGAGGTGGGTGGCCAGTTTTCTTGATATCCTCTATACCCACTGTCCTTTGAAGTGCCTCTCTGCTGTTGGGGCTCTCAAAAATATCTAGAACTTCCAAGTATTGGGATCATGTGGCCTCCTTCCCATGAAACAACCAGTTGCTAGAGCTGAAGACTGACACATCTTTGGTTCACGTGTCAGAGATGAATAGCGTTTTCCAGTTAAAAGGAGAGTGGGTGGCAAGTTCTCTTGATATCTTCTCCACCCACCATCCTTGGAAGTTCTAGATATTTTTGAGAGCCCCAACAACGGAGAGGCACTTCAATGGATGGTGGGTGGAGAAGATATCAAGAGAACTTGCCACCCACCCTCCTTTTTAAATGGGCACACTAGCCATCTCTGACATGTGAACCAAAGATGCCAGTTTTCCGCTCTAGAAACTGGTTGTGTCATGGGAAGGAGGCCACATGATCCCAATACTTTGAAGTGCCTCTCCGCTGTTGGGGCTCTCAAAAATATCTAGAACTTCCAACAGCGGAGAGGCCATTCAAAATATTGGGATCATGTGGCCTCCTTCCCATGACACAACCAGTTGCTAGAGCTGAAGACTGACACGTCTTTGGTTCACGTGTCAGAGATGGATAGTGTCTCCATTTAAAAGGAGGGTGGGTGGCAAGTTCTCTTGATATCTTCTCCACCCACCATCCTTTGAAGTGCCTCTCCACTGTTGGGTCTCTCAAAAATATCTAGAACTTCCAACAGTGGAGAGGCACTTCAAAGGATGGTGGGTGGAGAAGATATCAAGAGAACTTGCCACCCACCCTCCTTTTAAATGGAGACACTATCCATCTCTGACACGTGAACCAAAGATGTGTCAGTCTTCAGCTCTAGCAACTGTTGTGTCATGGGAAGGAGGCCACATGATCCCAATATTTTGAATGGCCTCTCCGCTGTTGGAAGTTCTAGATATTTTTGAGAGCCCCAACAGCGGAGAGGCACTTCAAAGTATTGGGATCATGTGGCCTCCTTCCCATGACACAACCAGTTTCTAGAGCGGAAAACTGGCATCTTTGGTTCACATGTCAGAGATGGCTAGTGTGTCCATTTAAAAAGGAGGGTGGCTGGCACGTTCTCTTGATATTTTCTCCACCCACCATCCTTTGAAGTGCCTCTCCGTTGTTGGGGCTCTCAAAATTATCTAGAACTTCCAAGGATGGTGGGTGGAGAGGATATCAAGAGAACTTGCCACCCACCCCTACTTTTAAATGGAAAACACTATCCATCTCTGACACGTGAACCAAAGACGTGTCAGTCTTCAGCTCTAGCAACTGGTTGTTTCATGGGAAGGAGGCCACATGATCCCAATACTTGGAAGTTCTAGATATTTTTGAGAGACCCAAGTATTGGGATCATGTGGCCTCCTTCCCATGACACAACCAGTTGCTAGAGCTGAAGACTGTCAGGTGGCGGATGATCTTTAACCTGTGTAAGCCTTACAATCGTGGGCCAGTCACTGCTGTAAAATATGGACCCCCCCAGGGCAAAGGGTCAGTCTGACCAAAGCTATAGGTGAAGCTTGGTGGGCTGGGCCACCGTCAGCTCTTGTTGATATCTTGGGGACCTTCAGTCCCTGGCTTTGCCTCTTTCATAATTGAGTTTCCCACTATTTGTTGGTTCTCATTGGGCTCACCGTTCCTGGGTCAATGCTATCCACCAGGCTTCACCTAGAACTAGAATTTTACCCTTTGGTGGACTGACCCTTAGGCCTCCTTTATACTTGCTTTGAAATGCGACTTCGGGCGCGCTTTTTTTAAAGAACTGTTAATGCCAATCAAATAAAATGGTCACCTTACCGTCCTGTTCACACGTTTGTGTTCGGGTCGCTTCAAGAATTATACCCCATGTTGTCTTCTTGGTCCTTCAATGCGTCTCCAAAGCCTCCATAGCAGTCTGACAACGTTCACTAACAGCACCTGTAGCTTTTGATGGGAATTTATTCAGTATGCGCTTATTAGCTTCACTTTGTTTTGGAGGTATTGCAGGTATGAGATATCCCAGGATGCACTGGGAAACCAGCAAGTGAACCAGTAAGACGTCATCAGCAGTCACTTCCGGTTCATGTGTATGTATTCTGGGAATGTCTGGTGTAGACGTCACATCTGGTATGGAGAAGAAGGGAGGTGAGAAGGGTCCAGAGTGGAGCAACTAGCAGGCAGTACGCGTTGTGTGTATCAGGTGTGGGAGCCGCCAGGGGTGTGCAGGATCTGCGGGTTTCCATATCTATGGCGCCATCCACCCCCCCCAGATCTATGGCGCCATCCACCCCCCCCCCATCTATGGCGCCATCCACCCCCCCAGATCTATGGCGCCATCCACCCCCCCCAGATCTATGGCGCCATCCACCCCCCCCCCAGATCTATGGCGCCATCCACCCCCCCCCCCCCCCAGATCTATGGCGCCATCCACCCCCCCCCAGATCTATGGCGCCATCCACCCCCCCCAGATCTATGGCGCCATCCCACCCCCCCCCCAGATCTATGGCGCCATCCACCCCCCCAGATCTATGGCGCCATCCACCCCCCCCAGATCTATGGCGCCATCCACCCCCCCCCCCCCCAGATCTATGGCGCCATCCACCCCCCCCAGATCTATGGCGCCATCCATCCCCCCCGATCTATGGCGCCATCCATCCCCCCCCCCCGCAGATCTATGGCGCCATCCACCCCCCCCCCAGATCTATGGCGCCATCCATCCCCCCCCGATCTATGGCGCCATCCATCCCCCCAGATCTATGGCGCCATCTATCCCCCCCAGATCTATGGCGCCATCCACCCCCCCCCCCCCCCAGATCTATGGCGCCCATCCACCCCCCCCGATCTATGGCGCCATCCACCCCCCCCGATCTATGGCGCCATCCATCCCCCCAGATCTATGGCGCCATCCATCCCCCCAGATCTATGGCGCCATCCATCCCCCCAGATCTATGGCGCCATCCACCCCCCCCCCCCCCCCAGGTCTGTGGCGCCATCCACCCCCCCCCCAGGTCTGTGGCGCCATCCACCCCCCCCCCCCCCCAGGTCTATGGCGCCATCCACCCCCCCCCCCCCCCCAGGTCTATGGCGCCATCCACCCCCCCCCCCCAGGTCTATGGCGCCATCCACCCCCCCCCCCCCCAGGTCTATGGCGCCATCCACCCCCCCCCCCCCAGGTCTACCCCCCCCCCCCCAGGGCGCCATCCACCCCCCCCCCCAGGTCTATGGCGCCATCCACCCCCCCCCCCAGGTCTATGGCGCCATCCACCCCCCCCCCAGGTCTATGGCGCCATCCACCTCCCCCCCCAGGTCTATGGCGCCATCCACCCCCCCCCCCCCAGGTCTATGGCGCCATCCACCCCCCCCCCAGGTCTATGGCGCCATCCACCCCCCCCCCCCCCCCCCAGGTCTATGGCGCCATCCACCCCCCCCCCCCCCCCCCCCCCCCAGGTCTATGGCGCCATCCACCCCCCCCCCCCCCCAGGTCTATGGCGCCATCCACCCCCCCCCCCCCCAGGTCTATGGCGCCATCCACCCCCCCCCCAGGTCTATGGCGCCATCCACCCCCCCCCCCCCCAGGTCTATGGCGCCATCCACCCCCCCCCCCAGGTCTATGGCGCCATCCATCCCCCCCCCCAGGTCTATGGCGCCATCCATCCCCCCCCCCAGGGTCTATGGTCTATATGGCGCCATCCATCCCCCCCCCCAGATCTATGGCGCCATCCATCCCCCCCCCCCCCAGGTCTATGGCGCCATCCATCCCCCCCCAGGTCTATGGCGCCATCCATCACCCAGCTAGGGCGGTTCTGCATCTCACTCGCTGTACACAGTGGCGGTGTCCACCTTGCACTCTCCTCTAACACGACTCTTCTTCCCCCCCTACAGAGACAAGTCGCCACATTGCGGTGTCACTGGGCGGGACGGGCGGTGGTGGAGGAGCGAAGGAAGAGAGCTTCCGGCCCCCGACGCCCAGCCATGGCGCACCAGAAGCGGAGCCGGGACCAGGCCTGGCCGGAGGAGGCGGGCGACAAGGAGCACGGCCTGTACAGCCTGCACCGGATGTTCGACATCGTGGGGACGCACCTGACCCACCGGGACGTGCGGGTCCTCTCCTTCCTCTTTGTGGACGTTATAGACGATTACGAGCGCGGCATGATCCGCACGGGGCGGGACTTTCTGCTGGCCCTGGAGAGGCAGGGCCGCTGCGACGAGACAAACTTTCGCCAGGTGCTCCAGCTGTTGCGGATTATAACGCGGCACGACCTGCTACCGTACGTCACCCTGAAGAGGAGGCGGGCCGGTGAGTTCTCATGTCATGGTTGTGAGGAGGAACGGGTTCCGTGGCATTGGTGTCCATCAAAAAAAAAGAGGCGTGGCCTGGTGAGATGGTTAAAACGGACGCCAAGCACGCGATGTAGAAAACTTTAAGGTGGTATGGGCTTCTGTCCAAATTTTTTTCATTGCTTACCTTGTTGGGAGAAATTGCACCTCACTTCCTGTCCGGGCACCTCACTTCCTGTCCTGGTGACGCCTTGACAAGAACGGCGAGGAGTGGTTGTCACTTGAGGCAGGAAGATGACAGACGGAGATTGTAACTTGACGGGAAATGGTTCTGTTGCGTTCCGTGTCACCGCCGGAGAGATTTCCCTTGACTTCCTGTTTTGACAGGAAGTGAGGGAAGACCTCCCCCGAGGGGGCACTGACCACACCTTAAAGACTGACCGAGCTTCCTGGTGACCGTCACTTCCGGGTTTAGGATGATGGGATGCTAACATGCGTTACAGCCCGCCTTGCGATTGGGAGCTTTCCGATCATGTGACCGCCGATCGCGGCGGTCACATGATCAGAAACCCCGCCTCCCAGCATCTGAAACCCTTTAAAGGGCCAGGAGACGCCGGTGCCAAGGGTTGAGTTGCCAGTCCTGTCGTTAATCTTCTATAGGCTCCGCCCACCACCAGGAGAAATCCGGGTATCACATGACTTTCTATCTCCCATGTGAAGGTGTTTGGTGATTGGCCCAGTGCTGTCACGTGGGGAGAGGCAGGGCAGCCATCTTTTTATATTTAAAGGTTGTACCTCCTCCTTAGTTTTGCTCTTCAGCGATTGGGCTTTGTTGCAGCTTGAATGAATCCACAGCAGACTAGAGCCAGACCCTGCTTCTGCTCCCCCACGCGTTTCGTTGGTGAAACGCGTTGGAGTGGGATCCGGCGGTGAGCACTGGGCTCTGGTTTCGTTGGATTCGTTCACGTGTCAATAAAGTATTTGTTTTTTTTTCAAATGAGGGAGGTGTGGCTTTCTTTGTGTGATCTGAGGGCCCCGTAAAGCTCATCACCTGGGGTCAGTTGGAAGGCCGCCTGGCGGGTCAGGAGTAAGCAATGCCCAAGGGTCAGGGGTCAGGATTAAAGTTTGTGAACCCTTCCGTATACCCAGTGAAGGGACGGGCCTCAGGTGATACACAGATGAAACACATACTCCTAGGTGAGTTGTACCTGTTTATCTGTAGCCTTCTCTTCTCTACATCCGTTTAAGGTCCAGAATTTGTAAAGCTTGTCTGAGAGGTCAGAAAAGAAGGGGGGCGGAGAGCTGAAATTACACTCTGCAGAGTTCAGTGACAGCAATGACTGCTGATTGGAGGGAAGGGTCACACCGCCCGCCACACAGGAACAGAGCTGAGGCTGTCAATCTGCTGGAGGTCACTCCCCTGTCACCGTTTTTCTCTTGGTGTCAGGAAAACTTGTCAGAAGTGACGCCTGCTGATAGCACAGAAAGGAGGCAGCAGACAGAAATGTCACTTGGTGCTCTGGACTGAGACAAGTACACTCTAGAGGGATGTGCTTTGTTCATATTTCTTGTCTGAGGTTTACAATCACTTTATGTATTGCAGAGGTCAGGGGTAAGGAAGACGGGGGTAAGAGATGTAGGGAGGTCAGGAGTCGGGGGTAGGAAACGTAGGGAGGTCAGGAGTCGGGGAGTAGGAAACGTAGGGAGGTCAGGAGTCGGGGAGTAGGAAACGTAGGGAGGTCAGGAGTCGGGGAGTAGGAAACGTAGGGAGGTCAGGAGTCGGGGAGTAGGAAACGTAGGGAGGTCAGGAGTCGGGGGTAGGAAACGTAGGGAGGTCAGGAGTCGGGGAGTAGGAAACGTAGGGAGGTCAGGAGTCGGGGGTAGGAAACGTAGGGAGGTCAGGAGTCGGGGAGTAGGAAACATAGGGAGGTCAGGAGTCGGGGGTAGGAAACGTAGGGAGATCAGGAGTCGGGGAGTAGGAAACGTAGGGAGGTCGGGGGTAAGAAATGTAGGCAGGTCAGGAGTCGGGGGTAGGAAACGTAGGCAGGTCAGGAGTCGGGGAGTAGGAAACGTAGGGAGGTCAGGAGTCGGGGAGTAGGAAACGTAGGGAGGTCAGGAGTCGGGGAGTAGGAAACGTAGGCAGGTCAGGAGTCGGGGGTAGGAAACGTAGGGAGGTCAGGAGTCGGGGGTAGGAAACGTAGGGAGGTCAGGAGTCGGGGAGTAGGAAACGTAGGGAGGTCAGGAGTCGGGGAGTAGGAAACGTAGGGAGGTCAGGAGTCGGGGAGTAGGAAACGTAGGCAGGTCAGGAGTCGGGGGTAGGAAACGTAGGGAGGTCAGGAGTCGGGGGTAGGAAACGTAGGGAGGTCAGGAGTCGGGGAGTAGGAAACGTAGGGAGGTCAGGAGTCGGGGAGTAGGAAACGTAGGGAGGTCAGGAGTCGGGGAGTAGGAAACGTAGGGAGGTCAGGAGTCGGGGAGTAGGAAAAACGTAGGGAGGTCAGGAGTCGGGGAGGTCAGGAGTCGGGGAGTAGGAAACGTAGGGAGGTCAGGAGTCGGGGAGTAGGAAACGTAGGGAGGTCAGGAGTCGGGGAGTAGGAAACGTAGGGAGGTCAGGAGTCGGGGAGTAGGAAACGTAGGGAGGTCAGGAGTCGGGGGTAGGAAACGTAGGGAGGTCAGGAGTCGGGGGTAAGAAACGTAGGGAGGTCAGGAGTCGGGGGTAGGAAACGTAGGGAGGTCAGGAGTCGGGGGTAAGAAACGTAGGGAGGTCAGGAGTCGGGGGGTAGGGAGGTCAGGAGTCGGGGGTAGGAAACGTAGGGAGGTCAGGAGTCGGGGGTAAGAAATGTAGGGAGGTCAGGAGTCGGGGGTAGGGAGGTCAGGAGTCGGGGAGTAGGAAACGTAGGGAGGTCAGGAGTCGGGGAGTAGGAAACGTAGGGAGGTCAGGAGTCGGGGAGTAGGAAACGTAGGGAGGTCAGGAGTCGGGGAGTAGGAAACGTAGGAGGTCAGGAGTCGGGGAGTAGGAAACGTAGGGAGGTCAGGAGTCGGGGAGTAGGAAACGTAGGGAGGTCAGGAGTCGGGGAGTAGGAAACGTAGGGAGGTGAGGAGTCGGGGGTAGGAAACGTAGAGAGGTGAGGAGTCGGGGAGTAGGAAACGTAGGGAGGTCAGGAGTCTGGGGTAGGAAACGTAGGGAGGTCAGGAGTCGGGGGTAGGAAACGTAGGGAGGTGAGGAGTCGGGGAGTAGGAAACGTAGGGAGGTGAGGAGTCTGGGGTAGGAAACGTAGGGAGGTCAGGAGTCGGGGGTAGGAAACGTAGGGAGGTCAGGAGTCGGGGGGTAGGAAACGTAGGGAGGTCAGGAGTCGGGGGTAGGAAACGTAGGGAGGTCAGGAGTCGGGGGTAGGAAACGTAGGGAGGTCAGGAGTCGGGGGTAGGAAACGTAGGGAGGTCAGGAGTCGGGGGTAGGAAACGTAGGCGAGGAGTCGGGGGTAGGAAACGTAGGGAGGTCAGGAGTCGGGGGTAGGAAACGTAGGCGAGTCGGGGGTAGGAAACGTAGGCGAGTCGGGGGTAGGAAACGTAGGCGAGTCGGGGGTAGGAAACGTAGGCGAGTCGGGGGTAGGAAACGTAGGCGAGTCGGGGGTAGGAAACGTAGGCGAGTCGGGGGTAGGAAACGTAGGCGAGTCGGGGGTAGGAAACGTAGGCGAGTCGGGGGTAGGAAACGTAGGCGAGTCGGGGGTAAGAGTACGTAGGCGAGTCGGGGGTAAGAGACGTAGGCGAGTCGGGAGGGGGGTAAGAGACGTAGGCGAGTCGGGTCGGGGGTAAGAGACGTAGGCGAGTCGGGGGTAAGAGACGTAGGCGAGGTCAGGAGTCGGGGGGTAAGAGACGTAGGCGAGGTCAGGAGTCGGGGGTAAGAGACGTAGGCGAGGTCAGGAGTCGGGGGTAAGAGACGTAGGCGAGGTCAGGAGTCGGGGGTAAGAGACGTAGGCGAGGTCAGGAGTCGGGGGTAAGAGACGTAGGCGAGGTCAGGAGTCGGGGGGTAAGAGACGTAGGCGAGGTCAGGAGTCGGGGGTAAGAGACGTAGGCGAGGTCAGGAGTCGGGGGTAAGAGACGTAGGCGAGGTCAGGAGTCGGGGGTAAGAGACGTAGGCGAGGTCAGGAGTCGGGGGTAAGAGACGTAGGCGAGGTCAGGATCGGTAAGAGACGTAGGCGAGGTCGGGGGGGTAAGAGACGTAGGCGAGGTCAGGAGTCGGGGGTAAGAGACGTAGGCGAGGTCAGGAGTCGGGGGTAAGAGACGTAGGCGAGGTCAGGAGTCGGGGGTAAGAGACGTAGGCGAGGTCAGGAGTCGGGGGTAAGAGACGTAGGCGAGGTCAGGAGTCGGGGGTAAGAGACGTAGGCGAGGTCAGGAGTCGGGGGTAAGAGACGTAGGCGAGGTCAGGAGTCGGGGGTAAGAGACGTAGGCGAGGTCAGGAGTCGGGGGTAAGAGACGTAGGCGAGGTCAGGAGTCGGGGGGTAAGAGACGTAGGCGAGGTCAGGAGGGGGTAAGAGACAGGTCAGGAGTCGGGGGTAAGAGACGTAGGCGAGGTCAGGAGTCGGGGGTAAGAGACGTAGGCGAGGTCAGGAGTCGGGGGTGTAAGAGACGTAGGCGAGGTCAGGAGTCGGGGGTAAGAGACGTAGGCGAGGGTCAGGAGTCGGGGGTAAGAGACGTAGGCGAGGTCAGGAGTCGGGGGTAAGAGACGTAGGCGAGGTCAGGAGTCGGGGGTAAGAGACGTAGGCGAGGTCAGGAGTCGGGGGGGTAAGAGACGTAGGCGAGGTCAGGAGTCGGGGGTAAGAGACGTAGGCGAGGTCAGGAGTCGGGGGTAAGAGACGTAGGCGAGGTCAGGAGTCGGGGGTAAGAGACGTAGGCGAGGTCAGGAGTCGGGGGTAAGAGACGTAGGGAGGTCGGGGGGTTAGGAAACGTAGGCGAGTCGGGGGGTAAGAAACGTAGGCAGGTCAGGAGCTGGGGGGTAAGAAACGTAGGCAGGTCAGGAGCCGGGGGTAGGAAACTCAGGCGAGTCGGAGGTAGAAGTAAGTAAGAGACATAGAGGGTTCAGGAGTAAGAAAAATTGGGAGTCTGAGTCAGGGGTAGGTATCGTAGACTGTTCATGAGTAGGAAATGTAGAGTTAAGAGGTAAAGAGTTCAGAGGTCAGGAATAAGTAAATGCACAGATATCTTGGGTCAGGAGTCAGTAACGGAGATGAGAGAGGGCAGAGGTCGGGAGTAGGTAACGGAGAGAGGGCAGAGGTCGGGAGTAGGGGAGAGTAGGTAGGTAACGGAGAGAGGGCGGAGGTCGGGAGTAGGTAACGGAGAGAGGGCGGAGGTCGGGAGTAGGTAACGGAGAGAGGGCGGAGGTCGGGAGTAGTAGGTAACGGAGAGAGGGCGGAGGTCGGGAGTAGGTAACGGAGAGAGGGCGGAGGTCGGGAGTAGGTAACGGAGAGAGGGCGGAGGTCGGGGGAGTGGGCAACGGAGAGAGGGCGGAAGTCGGGGATGTGGGCAACGGAGAGAGGGCGGAAGTCGGGGAGTGGGCAACGGAGAGAGCGCGGAGGTCGGGGAGTGGGCAACGGAGAGAGAGCGCGGAGGTCGGGAGTAGGTAACGGAGAGAGGGCGGAGGTAGGGGAGTGGGCAACAGAGAGCGCGGAGGTCGGGGAGTGGGTAACGGAGAGAGGGCGGAGGTCGGGGAGTGGGCAACGGAGAGAGCAGCGCGGAGGTCGGGGTGTGGGCAACGGAGAGAGCGCGGAGGTCGGGGTGTGGGCAACGGAGAGAGCGCGGAGGTCGGGGTGTGGGCAACGGAGAGAGCGCGGAGGTCGGGGTGTGGGGGCAACGGAGAGAGCGCGGGAGGTCGGGGAGTGGGCAACGGAGAGAGCGCGGAGGTCGGGGAGTGGGCAACGGAGAGAGCGCGGAGGTCGGGGAGTGGTCAACGGAGAGAGGGCGGAGGTCGGGGAGTGGTCAACGGAGAGAGGGCGGAGGTCGGGGAGTGGGCAACGGAGAGAGGGCGGAGGTCGGGGAGTGGGCAACGGAGAGAGGGCGGAGGTCGGGGAGTGGGCAACGGAGAGAGGGCGGAGGTCGGGGAGTGGGCAACGGAGAGAGGGCAGAGGGTCGGGGAGTGGGCAACGGAGAGAGGGCGGAGGTCGGGGAGTGTGGGCAACGGAGAGAGGGCGGAGGTCGGGGAGTGGGCAACGGAGAGAGGGCGGAGGTCGGGGAGTGGGCAACGGAGAGAGGGCGGAGGTCGGGGAGTGGGCAACGGAGAGAGGGCGGAGGTCGGGGAGTGGGCAACGGAGAGAGGGCGGAGGTCGGGGTGTGGGCAACGGAGAGAGCGCGGAGGTCGGGGAGTGGGGAACGGAGAGAGCGCAGAGGTCGTGAGTGGGGAACACAGAGCTAAGCAAGTGTTTATGGATCAGGTTGGGATTTACAGATTTGCGGCTTGTCTCCGACATCTGCTGGGGCCCCTCATCATCCTCTCTGGGAGTCGGGGAGTGTAACGTTTGAAGCGTGATGAGTTGGAGCCTTCCCACTTCAAGCACCAAAACGGCGTAGTGGAGCAGTCCGCGCATGCTTTGCCACACAGGTTGCTCTAGTTGCGCCATTTTTTTTAGTTGCCACTTGACCGGTATGACGGGTTGGAGCCTGCACCCCGCAAACATTTTTGGTCCCCGGCTCCCAGGAACACGTTTCTGGGGTACAGTCCCAGTTGTGAGGCGCCCGTCCCCGAGAAACAGCAACCTTAGCTTGGCTTCCAGGTCCTACACCCGAGATCTTGGTCCCAGAGCTCAGGAAGTGAATGGTGTTGGGTGGGATTGGCCAGGAAAGTCTTGAAGGAGCCGTACAGCAAGAACGTAACTAGAAGGTCACCTCCGAATTGGGACTCTTAAAGGATCGCTCCACCCAAACTCCTATTTCAGTGCTTGGCACCACCTAGTGCTTTCCTCCTCCATCTCCTGGGCGGCATTGGCAGTGATACCTCCATACTTGTGGTCTTGGGTCCATTACGAGAGCCCCGCTCTTCCAGGGAGGGGCCAACGCTGGGAGATGGAAGGAAACTCCACCTCTAAAACACCACTTTTGGGTGTCCTGGGCAGGTTGTCACCGTGTTGTCCTGGGCAGGTTGTCACCCTGTTGTCCTGGGCAGGTTGTCACCCTGTTGTCCTGGGCAGGTTGTCACCCTGTTGTCCTGGGCAGGTTGTCACCCTGTTGTCCTGGGCAGGTTGTCACCCTGTTGTCCTGGGCAGGTTGTCACCCTGTTGTCCTGGGCAGGTTGTCACCCTGTTGTCCTTTGCCCGCAGTGTGCCCGGATCTTGTAGACAAATACCTCGAAGAGACTTCCATTCACTACATGACGCCGCGAACGCACAGCAGCGGAGAGTCCAGCACGGAGCACCTGCGCTCGCCTGGTAAGAGCCTCGTGTGTTCTCATTGGCCAGATCGTTGGGGGGGGTGGGGTGCCAATAATGTGAGTGTAACTCTTTCCTGTCTGTGTTTCTCTAACTGGTAGCACCCCCCCATCACCCGGTGGTGTGCTCCCCTTCCTCTGGACCCCAAATCTGCACTAAGAGGCCAGGACGGGGAAGACCGCCCCTCAGCAGCCAGAAGAAGAGGAGGAAATCCATCACACCAGACCCAAAGGAGAAGCAAACCTGTGGTAGGTGGATGCTAGTAAAGAGGACCTGTCACCACCACGTGGGGGGTTGGGGAGGGCTATAGGCTATTTACAATGAGGAGCCTCAGTAATATCCCCCCTTACATTGGGGGTCAGTGGAGAGCCATGGTTACATCCCTTCCCACAATGGGGGTCAGTGGGGAGCCCCGGGGGGTAACATCCTTTTAGATTGGCCATAAGTGGGGAACCCCAGTAACAACCCCTCTTAGATTGGGGAGCCCCAGTAACAACCCCTCTTAGATTGGGGAGTCCCAGTAACAACCCCTCTTAGATTGGGGATCAGTGGGGACCCCAGTAACATCTCCTCTTAGATTGGGGGTTAGTGGGGAGCCCCAGTAACAAACCCCTCTTAGATTGGGGAGCCCCAGTAACAACCCCTCTTAGATTGGGGAGTCCCAGTAACAACCCCTCTTAGATTGGGGATCAGTGGGGACCCCAGTAACATCTCCTCTTAGATTGGGGGTTAGCGGTGAGCCCCAGTAACCCCTCTTAGATTGGGGAGCCCCAGTAACAACCCCTCTTAGATTGGGGGTCAGTGGGGACCCCAATAACATCCCCTCTTAGATTGGGGATCAGTGGGGAGCCACAGTAACACTCTTTCTCATGTTGAGGTTCTGTGGGGAGCCCCTGTAACCTCCCCTCTTACGTTGGGGGTCAACAAGGAGCCCCAGTAACATATTCTGTTACAATGGGGGTCAGTGGGGAGCCCCAGTAACCTCCCCTCTTACGTTGGGGGTCAACGGGGATCCCCAGTAACCTCCCCTCTTTCGTTGGGGGTCAGCGGGGAGCCCCAATAACATATTCTGTTACAATGGGGTCAGTGGGGAGCCCCAGTAACCTCCCCTCTTACGTTGGGGGTCAGTGGGGAGCCCCAGTAACACCCCCTCTTACGTTGGGGGTCAGCGGGGAGCCCCAGTAACATCATCTTAGATTGGGGGGGTCAGTGGGGAGCCCCAGTAACATCCTCTTAGATTGGGGGTCAGCGGGGAGCCCCAGTAACATCCTCTTAGATTGGGGGTCAGCGGGGAGCCCCAGTAACATTCTCTTAGATTGGGGGTTAGCGGGGAGCCCCAAAAACATCCCCTCTTATGTTGGGGGTCAGCGGGGAGCCCCAGTAACATCCCCTCTTAAAATGTCGATCAGCGGGGAGCCCCAGTAACATCTTCTTAGATTGGGGATCAGTGGGGAGCTCCAGTAATATCCTCTTAGATTGGGGGTCAGCGGGGAGCCCCAGTAACGTCCTCTTAGATTGGGGGTCAGCGGGGAGCCCCAGTAACGTCCTCTTAGATTGGGGGTCAGCGGGGAGCCCCAGTAACGTCCTCTTAGATTGGGGGTCAGTGGGGAGCCCCAGCAACATCCTCTTACATTGGGGGTCAGTGGGGAGCCCCAGCAACATCCTCTTACATTGGGGGTCAGCGGGGAGCCCCAGCAACATCCTCTTACATTGGGGGTCAGCGGGGAGCCCTGTTAACATCTCATTTATACATTGGGGGTCAGTGGGCCCCCATTTTAGTACCATCATCCTACTGCTCCCCATTATAGTGCCACCATACTGCCCCAACTGTCCCCATTGGAGAGATTTCCTCCTCCTGTTTCTGTGGATCAGGAAGTGAAGCAAAATCTCTCCTGGGGGGCATTCGATATTTTTTTTGGAGAACCTCCTTCCAAAATTTGTACAAATTTCCTTACTTTTGGTCAAGTTGTTGACTTTTTTTTTTCTTTTTTGTCCTTGCTCCCGCCCCCGACGCAGATATCCGCCTGCGGGTCCGGGCCGAGTACTGCCAGCACGAG